GAAAATGATTATGAACCAGACGATGAAATTTCACTTAACGAATGGTTAGAAAAGTATAAAGACTCTGACTACGAGTATGACACAGACGAAGATGTGCCAATGTTATCGAAGAACAAGTTAAAACCAAATTGAGTGATTTCAATTTCTTCGAATATGTGAGCATTGATAATGGCATTCGTACAAGAGAAATGTTGACCGATGAGCAAATTATAGACTCCGTAACCTCATCTACAGCTTTAAGCGATAATGAGAAAGATGACGATTTACGTGAAACGTATTCTACTGTATAGACTCTTCTGAAATGACAAAAGAAGTGTTATCCAAGTTCGTAATCATATCTGGGAGTCCTTTTGTGATCTTGAAAACTGCATAAATAACATCTATTTTTGCGGCAGAAATGTACAAACCAAAATTACAGACTTTATGAAGTAGATTTCAAATTGAATTTTGTTTATGTTTTTGTGTTCTTTTTAGTCATACCTACTTACTTCTACTACTCTATGTAAAAATAACGAAATAAATTACACCACGGGTTTTTGTATTATTATTCGCTTATAGCGAACTTCGGATATAACGAACCAGTTTTAGTTCATTTTTCAAGCTCGTTATATCCGGACACAACTGTATATTGGTTTGTTGTGATTCTTCGAAAAAAACGTATTTCCATCTCCAGGATTTTACTCCCCTGAAGAAAATTTGTGAGACTGAACGCCGAAATAATAAGCAATATACGCTGATGACACCGTACTCTTAGCAAACGGCAAAAAAAGCCCAACCGCGTGTTCTGTTGCTAAGAATCTGAAGCTAAAATAACCAAGACAGTGATAATCAACCGGATTTTACACTGTTATTCCCGATAACTTATCAAAGGACAAATGCGTGAGTAAAAGTGGGTCGTTCTTGCGCTCTTAAGTAATGTTCTAAACTCTTCCAACCAACCTGGTACAATAACTGTGCATATTTCTTGCAATTGTGGCATACGCTGATATGACAGAATAAACATTTATATTCAACGAAACATATTCATGCATTTTAGCGGTAAAAAGTCATGCATCATAGCCAATTCCATTTAGGCACGTTTACTTGCCAATATAATGTAATAAGTTGGATTTCGGTGAATCGGCCGGAAATGGAGAGTACATACGCTCCCAACAGGGCTTTCCAGGCCTGCAGGACGAACATGTCACAAAACCTGTTCGCTCGTTTTCACTCAGGAAATTGAAAACCAGACAATGCAAATTTTACATTCAACCGTGGTTGCCAAATTTGAATTAATTCCATTTTGGAGATTTGTATCTTTTTAATTAAATCGCAATTTGCCCTCGACCAGTTCGAACCGATCGTTTATGGATGCACGGAACAGGTTGTTTCCGTCTTAAAGACTACTTCGAAATGCCGGCATAGTCAGAGCTTTTCAGCCATAATTAAAAGGTGCAAAACCAGCCGAGAAATTCATTTTATTAAGCTGCAAAGCTGCCGTAATGTCGGATAATTACAGCTCGTATTTGAGAAGGAAATCTGTGAAAGTTTGCTTTTATAATTTCAGGATCAATTTGTTTTGGATTTTCTTGGAGAATTAGTCGCAAGTACATTGAAAGCTATCTAAAAGATTGGATCGTTGTGGCAGAAATAGGAACAGACCGTCAATTTTTTTAAAAGCTTTCAAGCCTACATTTTTCGTTGATAGTCCACAAAAACTAAGAAAATTTATTTTAAGACAGTGATCAATGATTTAAATAGCACGAAAACCAAAATGTTTCATTACGTTCTTAACTTCCGACATTCCTTCACTTATTCTGAGAAAATCGATTTTTTCATCTTCATCACATAAATCACTGTTAGCCAAAAAATGGCAACGCAAAATATAAATCGCGCCCCTAAACGCGAAGCCTTTCAATGGGCCCAGTTATAAATAACACTAATTATTCGAATTTTTATCCATTTCACAAGAAAGGGATTCCGAATGACAAAGCGGTTTTATTTTCGATCATTTTTAAAGAACACTGAATGTATTAAAACTTCCAATGAATAAGTCGTCGCATTGGAAACTTTTTCAATTAATAACAGTTTCCCCAAGTTTAGCGACAACTTAAATGGATGCGAATTGATTGATTTCGTTTCTTGGGAATACGAAACTTAGTTTTTCAGGATGGCTTGCGTTTATTTATGGAAAACGTAGAGAAGTTAGTTTGGCTGCATGTTGTTGGTGCTGCTTCACTTTTATTACTTTAGTTACATCATTTTATCGAAACTTCCAACGAACAAGGTAAACTTAATAGTAGATGGACAATTCTCTATATTCTCGTAAAGCTGAATTACTCACTTTTCCGGTAAAAACTTTTGAATAAATCGCCATTTTCGGGTTATTAAGTGTTGCTTATACTTCAGAGATGTGTTCTCTTATATTTTGCTTAGTATAGATTAATTTTCAGCCCTCAATCTGTTTGAAACCCCTGAAAAACTCCTCTCATTTTTCTTGTTAAATTCCCCAAAAATAATCTTCAACCAACAGAAAATCGCCGCCTCGTCTGTCACTCAATCCGACAATTTGGAAAAGATTGTCCAGGCAAATTCCTTTTGAGAAATCATTTAAATCCCCATTGTCTTGTGTAGAAGTTTGATTTAAAATTCATAATTCTTTCGCTTTAATCTAAATTCTCGGTTGAAGGAGGCTGCTGAAAACAGCGTTGAATGGAGGAGAGTCTTCTGAAAATTAATAAGCTTTGCGTCTAACGAAGTTTTGCTTAAGTTGTATAAGTACCTGCTGGAAATCGTTTTATTTCAAACGTTCTGTAAACGAAAAATACTGAACTTGGAGCGATTCGGCAATTGCTTTTCGAGAGGTTTAACCTTGAGTTTTCTTAATAATCGGCGCCTTTATTTTCATTGTTTCGTGTTGGCTTTTATCGTTAATGCGACTTCCTTGGACTGTCCGAACTTAGCAATCAGTTTAATGAAGTCGAATACGTTGAGCATTAATTCGGCAACTGAATTAGTCGGTTCTGTTAAAGTGAATAATAACCATCAAAGTTGAAAAATTGGATGTAAGAAACGTTTTCCCAGGCTTAAAGGCAATCAAGAGTCGATTTCAAAACGAATCCATTGCAGCAAGAATGAAGTCGCAATTTCCATCCCATTTACATGTCAGTAGCGCAAATAAACTCTTAATAGATAAACCTTTAGAAGGTCCCTAAAGTCGAAAGCGCCAGGTTTGCAAAATTAGTTTTAAATTATCTCGAGCCATCCTTCGACGAGTAATTCGGGTCACGTTCAGCAGTTTAGCCATTAACACATATACATTCAAATGGATGCAATTATATCTCGGGATAATTGCAAAATAAACCCCTATTTTACGGTGGTAATCTGTGTATTTTTGTTGCGAGCTGACTATTAAGCGGCCCCTTGATATACAAGGGCCTAAACTTGGAACTTTATTAGGTAGCGTTGCAGGAATATTGTCTAAATTTTAACTGGGAGTCTAGGGTGAACTAATTGCTGGATTGGTCCCTTGAAAGCAGCGCGATTAAGCATGTTAGAGCGTGCATATTCTGATTAGGTGTTGAAAAGTAAAGCAGATAATCTGCCGAACTCAAAGTGAACAATAGATCAAAGGTAAGCAGGAGTAAACGAGACTTTACGGAAGAAGGGAGCGTTACTTTATAACAGCCTGGAAAAGGGCATATTAGATTAGCAATTTATCACCGAAAAAGTCCGCCCGGAAAATCTTAAAGGACGTCGGCGTAACATAATCCAGTCTGGCTTATTTTAGAAAGCACTTGCCGCGCCGTCTTTCCTAATTTTCGAGATAAATCAGTTGCTGGCCTGGCGCTCCTTATAAAATATTACTGTCTCTTTTATTTGATAAACGTGCCACAGTCATACACAACTGTTGTACAATGTGTTTATTTCACTAAATTCACGATAGGGCTGAAGTTATAAAAAAAAAAAACGATCAGCATCAGGCGAAAGATTTATGAAACAGCTGCTGCACCAAAGAGTGCTATCATTTTTTCCAACAGTGTTTCGAGCAAAAAAATTAAATAAATAAAAAATAAACACATTTAATGCAAGCAGGTGCCGATTTGGAGATGTGCTAATATCAGACATTGCATAAAAATGTCCCTAAAAAATAGCTGGATAACCACAATCTGGCCCAGTAGCTGTTTCATTACAAAAAAAACACATCGAAAAACACGTTTAAGACATTAAAACAAATAGCAATGGAGAATTATTCAGCCAATCAGTTTTTTGCTCATTTCATTTTTTTCGCATCAGAACGAACCAATAGAAAAATCCTTCAGCACCAAGTGGCTCTACTAGCCGGGTAAGTAACAATACTTGATAAAACTTAGGATTTACGTAGCAAAAACAATGCGAAGAACAGAGCGAATCGTTAAACTGAACGATAAAAACCCCGCAAAATGGATGCAAATTGGGGCGGAAAAAGGGTTTGTTTGAACTTACCGGCACATTTTTGAAGTTTATATTCGTTCGAATCGTCCTTTGGTGCAGGGGCTGAATGGGACGCGCGTTATTTCCCAACGGAGCTTTCGGAGCCTCCTCCGAGCCTTGCATTAACTTCCGTAACTGGTATAACTGAAATCGCAAAAATGTATTAAAATTACACCGCCGGGTTAAGGGTTTTACATTAGTTGGCCGAATTGTTTCCGAAAGTTGAGAGTTCTTGCACGTTTCCACATATAGTGTAGAGTTGTGCAGATTGGCAGGATTTAGTTAGGAAATATTTAAGATGCTCATTCTCCTTTATGAGGCTACTTCTTGTCATTACAGTGAAGATGATGAATTATATTGAGTTAAAAACTATTGATAGTAAATACTCCTTGGAGCAATCAGACCAATGGTTTAGGCAGGAAAGATAATTAAGATGAAAGCTGCAATTAAGTTTAAGACAGTTACAGATTTAGGAGGAAAAAAACAAGTATTAAGTAAAGATTTGGAGAAGAAGCTGATAAAGCAGGAGAGACAAATAGATATTCCACACAGTTTGTAGAGAATACGGGGTTTGTAAAAAATACCCATTTTAACGAAAATGTAGCTTTCAAAACAATTACCTTTTCCCATTAAACAATCGCATCAAAGAAACAACAGAGAAAAAAAAACAGTTTTCTGTTTGCATAAAATTTGGCCGCATTCACATCCGGCCGTCAAATAAATCCATCTAAATCTATTGCGCGGCAAAAAGCTCTTTTTAGCTAATTGCTATCATAGATTACGTGCATAGCTGACTCGTACCTCGTGTTTGGTAATATAAATGGGCTTATTAAGGATGATCCACACTGTGGTTTCCCAACATCCCGGGTGTGTCGTCGATCCCTCGTAAGTCATGAAATGGTCTGTGTTGGGCAGCAAAGCTCGCAGTGAAATGTGCTTGACAGGAGTGGAAGCACCTGAAAACCATGAAAACACTGTTCTAGAAAACACTTCTTTAAGACCCATTTGATCTTCATATTTTGAAGCTCCTAAACATTGCAATAGTTTAACACATATTTTTTTTTCTTCGTTTTATACAATGTGATTCAAAATTGGCGTCATTCCTCTGCAGGTGTTGTCTGGCGGTGTTTAAGGAACACAGAAAAAATAGTAAAAAACATTAATTGTTGTTAAAAACTGAGAAATTTGCAAAAAACTATATTAGAAAAACGGCAACAATGCTTTTCAAGGTAATCTGCCTAATTAACATTACGTAAATACCTGTTGCTTCGTAATTATTTAAAAATCTGGTAACCATGGAATTATGCAGAAAGTGACAATAAGATAGACAACGATAAACGATAAATTCATCAGGAATCGTTGAATGATGGAACCTATTTCAAAACTCATAACCTCGAATTATTACTTTGCTTACAAATTACAAAAAACGAGAAAAGTTTCAATGTTCTCTGAAGATTTCATGTTCAATGTTTGATTCAGAAGAAATCACGAACGCTTGTGGATGTACCGAAATGTTCAAAAAACTTATTGGAAACCAATAAGAAAACAAAAAAATAACGTGGACTCGGTATAAGCACATTTTAATCCGTTGCATTTTGTAAGTATGTATTTTCATCAAATAAAACAGTTCTAAATTCCAGCTTAGCAAAATGAAAATATTCAACCATAATTCGCGCGGATTTAATAAAAATATCCAAATTAGTCCGGCGGTGAGACTGCACTAAAGTCACAGAAAATCCAGTGAAAATTTAATAAAATCCTCTTAAAAGGCTTCATTTGCATAATGTTTGTGCTTTGATACTCCGGCAAGTTTACATGGCAAACTTTTTTAATCTCAGTTTTTCCAACTATAGTTTCTTTCGGATTTTAACTTGATCCTCTAGTGCTCGTCTAAGGTTTTGATCAACCAGTTTTCGGATCTGTCGAGGGCAGATTTCCTGTTAGCAAGAGTCAGATTATTGGAAGTTTAAATGGGTTTTGCGTTAGGGCCGCAGGTGGTCGGAATATGAAACATTTGCAACATTTCTTAACGGTTTGCCTATAAATGCAAAACACCTTCATGTCGTGTAGATGAAGCGATTAATGTTCCTCACCTTTATGCCGTAGCTGGATGGATGGAAAGAAAATAAATAAATATGTCAACATTTCTATGCATAATTTCGCCTTATGGGGAATAATAACCATGCCAGGCTAATAATGTACGTGCAAGTGTCATTCCATTTCGAAAGAACTGTGCGTGATTCTTAGGCATGAAGGTCTCCATTCTGCGGACAAGCGCTGTATTTTTCCATTTAACATTTTAATGGCACTTTTTATGTTTTCCAGACCGGGCAAAAGTATGCATTKGTCGAAACAGTTCAGTCAGTCACACTGAAGAAACAGAAAACATTACTTTCACATGAAATTTCTCCAGTAAATAAATGAAGCAGTTTTGATGATTTSAACGGTTTCCCCGATAAATTTTCGGAAATGTCAAAGTAACGATTTTTTTTTGCATTTGCCCGTTCTAACAACCCATTTACCCATTCCGTTTCGGTTTGCAAATTTTTCATTTGCGTTCACCACGAATCACGATAACGTCTTTAGCCGTTCCCAATGCGAGTTATTCACTGTGAAATTTATTCATAACGTAAATATTTTTTACTGTTTACGACCATCATTTCGAAAATAGAAATCTCTGAGCTACATTGTCCTATTCGGGTTTATGGGCCGGTAAAGCATACCCACATGCATTACATGCCAGTGATAAAAAAACCACAATGCCTTCATAAACGACTGTTAGCCACGTGAATTTCAATAGTGGAAACACGGAATGTGAAAGTTATAGATTATAATTTTTTTCCTAGGTTGAAGAATGCTGTTCCATTACAGATCTTAACGATGAGCTTTAAATCAGTACACATTTTCATTTTTAGTTATTGTATCACCTTCAATTTGCAGACATACACTGATCATTCCTCTATTTTTCAACCTTTTTTTCTAATCATTCGAGTATTCACTTTCACTTATATGACAAATTGGATTCCTACAGAATTCATGAGCAAAATTCCACACATTTAGTTGATACGACCCAGTAAAAAGACAACAAACAGCTTGATTCCTGCGGCAGGTTATTGACCATAAAAAAATCATTACCGACCACTTCAGCAGCATTCACTCAAAAGTAATTCTATCAACAAAGTGCGATTAAAAGAAACTTGACTTCTATTGACTAAAGCAGTTAACGAGGGTTTTATTGCACACGCAAGCCCTTATTTCACGTTCGAAGGCCGGATACAGGCATATTATTTATTTTCCCTTAAACCGTTTTAAATTGAATTTTAAATCATTTTGTTCTGAACGCAAAAATTGTCGGGAGAGTTTACATAGACGAATGACACTTTGAAGAAGGCTGCAAATTATAATTGAATTTTAATTTGTGCAAAAGCCCTAGTCGATAGTCAATGGAAGTTTTATAGAGATGAGTATTGGCGAATGTTAAGCAAAATACGGTGCGATGTAGGGATGGGATATCGATCATATAATATCGATGGTAGCCATCGATGTTCTGATTTCAAATTGATTAACTTAAACTTAAATCATTTTATTTTACTACTACCATGACATTAAATAATCGACTAAATTTATTCAACTTATAGTTGCCACATTTTTCGGTCAATTGACTGCAAAAAGAGGCTTTTTTTGGGTGCAGCTGGAAATGGGCCGCTTTGCCCTTTTCTTGCTTTGCGGTATCGTTTGTATCGGCACTATAAAAGAGTTCGCAGAAAATGTTTTTAACTAGTGTCAACATCAAATGTCCGATGTTTTCATTTCAGGATCTAACATCGATGCTTTATCGATGTTCCAAATTTCCAACATCTATGGTAAAAGTATCGAACGAATTACATCGATGTTTGCAAAACATCGATCTTTTTCTCCCATCCCTAGTACGATGTCTAATTTTTTAAGTGTCAGCTAACTAGTTGTGCCCATAGTTTTTCTTTCCTAGCTACTGTCATTGCAATTAATGTTTAATAAAAAACCTAAACCCTTTGCCGAAGGGTTTTTTTTAATTCCATGAATTATTTTCATAATTTACTAACGTATGACCCACAATTGATTAAAACGTTCGTTAGTTTAGTGAAACATTTTTAAAACGATTTTAATTACATTTTGGTCATGCGCGATTTTAAATCCAACTTTGGTAACAATTCCTGGATGTCTTAACATTTCTGGTAAATAAAGGAGCAAAAAAAAACAGAAAATTAAAAAAATCACTTAAAACACAGGTTAAGGATGGGAGAAAAACATCGATGTTTCGGAAACATCGATGTATTTCGTTCGATATTTTTACCATCGATGTTGGAAATTTGGGACATCCATAAAACATCGATGTTAGATCCTGAAATGAAAACATCGGACATGTGATGTTGACACTAGATAGAAACATTTTCTGCGAACTCTTTGATAGTGCCGAAAAAAGCCTCTTCTTGCAGTCAGTTGACCGAAAAATGTGGCAACTATTTTCACGTTCAAAGTTTTCTAAGTTCAATAAATTTAGTCGATTATTTAACAATGAATTGTTTTAAAATGTCATAGTAGTAGTAGTAAACTAAAAGTATTTAAGTTTATGTTAATCAATTTGAAATTTGAACGCAACTCTAAACTATCATAACATCAGCAGAACATCGATGTTTGACAACATCGATGTTCTGCCTTCGATGCTTCCCTAACATCGATATTACCTTTCTCTGACAACATCGATGGCTACCATGGAAAAAATGGAAACTCAAAAAGGTTATATACGGGGTCATTCATTTTTAAGGACTTAAATATTTAACGCAAATAGGTCATATACAGGGTCCTCTAGTTGTAAAACGATCATTAATTGCAGCGTTTCATTACAGCTAGAGCCAGAGCAAGCAATATTTTTTGTTGGCTCTTGCTCCTTTAACTTAATAACATGTATTGTAATAATTTTTTTCTGTCAACAGTTTCAACTCTCTCCTGTAGTGGCTAATTGGCTTTCATTTGCTGTTTAGATTCGTTGGACTGCCTCTCGATGAGAGTTAATAAGTCGGCTCAAAAGCGGGCAATTAAAAAGCCGCCCCGGGCCTTTTGAATTCGATTGTGGCGCCCGATAATTAAAAAAAAGCGTTCATATTTAGGCGTCGCGGTGCTATAAATCGGCGCCGCTGCCGTTATCCGCCACCGACCGACGCCACATCTCTATCTGGCAGTAAATCACGCCATCGCCGCTCAGATAACCGAGCTCTTAGCCCGGACAATAAACAGAACGATGAGTGCGACTGCGGATGCTGTTTTTCATTGCTCGCACGAGTGCTTTCTCTATGCTCGTTTTTGACAATATCGCTGAAAAAGGCATATAATTCACTTTTTTGCTTGATTTTGCCATTGATATGAACTCCTCATTTCAACAAAGAAAACAGTATGAAGCACAGAGTCTCCACGCAGAGTTGAGAGTAGTTCATTGCTTGAAGGTGAAATAAATTCAGTAGCCAGCGCACCTAAATAACGAAAAGTGACATCGAAAAAATAAATCTCGCTCAATTTGATTTAAACAACAGAACAGGGTCGGTCGTATGAAAACAAGCACGTTTCATTAGGGTAAAAGTGCCGCCGTGCCTGCACGCGATGCTTCAACTAAATGCCGTGTAATAAATAATATACTCGAGATTTCTTGCGACCGTTGTAACAAATGTGGGTGTATGTAAACGTGGCGTGGCGTGACCGATGTGATCTTACCACGCTTATAATTTCCTATTAATTAGTGTTGTGGTGACGGTTCGTATCCTGAAATAATTTGTTCAAATTCGTCACCCAACCGTTGTCACGATCACATTTTACTAGCTAATAAGCCCTGAATGTTTCCCGATTTATTCATAATTTTTTTGTTCCAGCTCATCTCCTCTCAATTTCAAAAATAGCAGCGATGCATACTTTAAAAAGTTCAAGC